AAATAACAAAAAAAAAAGCGTTGGGTTGATAAAGATTCTAAATATTAAAAAAACAAACATGTATCCAGTTTTAACCGCCAGTGTATATTCGATAGTGAATGCGCTTCATTGGTTTAACACGGCATCCGTGATCGAATGAATCCCGGTTCGATATTTTATTTTGAGATTACGGCACTCAATAACGAGTTAGCATTGTACGTTCAAGTTGTACTACAAAAAAAAAAAAACTTTGTTTTTTTATTCGATTCGAAGCGGGTAATCATTCGATAACGAAAGCCGCAATAAGGGCCCAGAAGTTAATACTACACGAAAAATACAAACCTTGCGAGCTAACAGTGTCCAGTTGAGAGCGAGTCAACCAAATTCATTTAGTAGATGATCAGCCATTTAGCGTTGTGATGAAAAAAAAATTGTAAATGTGATTGACCTCGTAGTATTTCTTAAAATATAAACAGAAACACTCTACAACAGTCGCAATAAGCATACATACACATCTGAATAGGTACATATCTACTACAGATGAGCACGGGACTAAATATTTAATCCCGCCCATCCCGATGTTTTTTCAAAATTGTGCCGCGGGTCCCATTGCTCCCGAAATATATCACTAGAAAAATTTACATGTCTTTCAAATGAATTTTAAATAATAAAAAAATAATGAAAGATGTAACATCTTCCGATCATTTTGTTTTGCTTTGCTGTTCGTTTTCATCTCAATAAAACATAGGAAAGTGCATATTTCGTTCAACGTTTTTAAGGAAAATTTTCTGATTATCGGGAGTGTCGAGAAAGGATTTTGGTCCCGTCCGGCCCGCAAAATTTGTACAGATCTTTCCGATGGAGGGTATCGGCCGTTTTGAAATCAGTACCGTGGGATCCGCAGGTCCCGCTATCACGCGCCCATCTCTGGTATCTACTACATATCGTCACCTGAAATGCAAAAAGACGTAACAACATAATCAGGCCGTAACAACATAATCAGGCCAATTCTTAATACTCGCGGCGTGTTTCTCCCGAGAAAGAAATCCCCCAATAACGAAATTGCTCCGTCAGTTAAAATTTTATCAGAGAAAAATCAGGGAGGCAGTAGCGCCGGTAGCGATCGAATAAAACTCGATTTAAAATTTCATTTCAAGTAACTGGCGATCATAAACTTTGCAAAACAACCAACCCCAAAAAATTGCAATCAAATTTAAGTAAGGCAAAAAATAATTCTTTGCTACGTTATCCAAGTTTTTACAGGCGCCTTGACGCCTTAAAACATTAGGGCTGTTCAGCATGTTGTGGAAATAGTCTCGGATTCGCAGTTGGAATTGCATTTGCAAATTTTATTGTTGTGAATTTAATAATTTAACGAATATGCAAATGCAAGAGTATATGCACAAGATCCTGAAGAGCCCTATTATTTCGCTGGTGTTGTCAAGAATCCCTTGCGACCACGTGCGACAGTTTTGCAAGGGATGTCCTTTTTATTGTTCCGAGTGAATTTTTCTGCATTTACGATAACTGAAATTTGAGCTAAACTGTTTCTTAATAAGGCACCGCACCCCCAGGCTGTCGTACTCTATACTACATCATGTTTTTTTTTTTTTATATAACAAGTGCAATTTACAAAAACTGGCGTTGATTTTTTGAAAGTCTGTTGCTAACGGTCTCCCGCATTTGATTTCATAAGAAATTCATGCCTATGTGGAAAAAAGTGCAAAAATCCGTCTCAAAAAAAAATCTCGAAAATTAACGCGATTTTGTAGGCGGTTGGAACTTGCAATTCATTAGACTAAAATTGAATAAGCTTCAAAACTGCGTACTGCATACTGCAACTGAATAAAAAGTTGAAAATTTAGTTGAGATTTTTTTGGAATTTTTGTGAATTTTATACAAAGTGTGAAACTTTGATTTATATGGTTTATATTATAGAATGAACTATATTTTCATAAATAAATAATGCAAAATATGGTTCATGAAAATAATTGTGAATATTATATTAGGACCAGAACCAAATGGAGACTTTCATATGTCGCCTAGTGTATGTGTGTATGGTGTATCTGGACTAGAGATGGGCAAGCCCGCGGGTACGGGCTGGCAAATTTGAATTCGGGACGTGTATAGGTGTGCAGTGAAATTCCAACAAAACACGAAAAAGAACCAAAGATCCCGAAAAATTTTATGGACAAAAAAAGACTAGGTAAAAAACAAAAAACCATTTCGCGTCTTGAATTTGCCAATTTTAGAGTTTCGCCAACGGGCAAATGATTTGAAAATGCTGCAAGTTGTAGGTTGCAGGTAAGAAAGTACTGAACTTCTATGCAGCTAGTAAGCGGGTATTTTCGTTATCGGGCCAAATACATAACAGAAGGCTTACCAAACGTCCATTTACCAAATCATCCGTGCCTAATCGGTCTCATTGATTTTTTCTACGTGCGTGTTCAAGCGCGTTTTCTAATATTTTTTCTTCACTCGTGCCGGAAAAATTAAGCTCGCTACCATCTCTTAAGTGGACCTCCTCAGAACCCTTGAATAATTTCTTAAGTGTACATATGTAGAATGAATAGTAAATCTGTTACCAAAAATCATTTTTTTTTTGGTTAAATATTTCATTTAAATTGCTCCACGATGCCCCTTCGCTTTAGCCCACAAATGTATTAAGTATGGCACGCAAGTATCTTCAATTGAAAGTGTTTATTAATTTTGGAATATGTTTATTCTTAATATTTTAATTGCTTGTTTTACTTAAACATTAATTAGTTTCAGTTAATCAATTAATTAAATTTAATATAGTAATTATAATAATCATAATAATCATCATCGTCATCTCCATCTCTATCATCATAATCATCATCATCAACGTCATTATCAAGTTGCTATTTTTTTATTTTTTTTTTGTTTAAAACTAATTTATGCGATGCCATTTGCATACTTTAATTTGTATTAATATATATATGTATGTATATCATAACTTTTCTTTCAGTTTTTACTGCGGGTTTTTTTTGGCATTTTATAATTTAATTCTCAACTGCATTAACATTAACTTTTTACTTATTTCTTTATGTAATTATGCTAAGTTTTCATGTAATGTATGTATGTAGTATATGTGTATGTAGGTTTTTGTTTTTCGTTTTTTATTCTTTATTATTTACTGGTTTTTCTCTTGCCGGTTATAAGTTTTTTATTTATATCTGTATAATAATTATTAATAATTTTCACTTATAACTCTTAAACAAATCAAATTTAGCAATTGAAAATAGAAATCAAAAAACACACTAATGTTGCCACTCTGAATTCATACCTTACATATCTACAAATTGGGAGGTGTGTACACATCATACAAACGTCATACTCACTGTTACGTCTAATTTCTTTTGCTTTCTTTAATAATTATACTTTTTTTTTTGGTTTTTATTTTATTTTTTATTTTTTACTAATTTCTAAAGTATGATTTCTTTGTTCTAGACTAATACGACGGCGACTTTTATTTAACAATATTTTTTTCTAAGTATACATATTTATAATATTTTACAAATATTTTTCTGTTGTATATATATATGTATGTATGTATGTTGGTATATATTACAACTGCGGATCTAAATGTCATTTAGTAAAAAAAAACACTATGGGAGCGTATTTGGACCCAAAATATACATACATATATGGTGTTTAAAATTTTTTTTGTTCTAAAAAATCGATGGTGAAATGTGGTTGTCCCCACGAAATTATTCTACAAGTAAAACATTAGTGTAAATTGCGCGGTATAAACATGTGTATATACATATGTATATTCTTTTAGTTTATCACAACGAAATAAAAACAACTAAAATCTAATAAAAACCTGCATTGGAATCTACATAGTTACGTACCGAAAAAAAAATTTAACCGCCTCAGTCAAATAAAATTTTTTGTTTTCAGTCTAATCTAGAGTTTTTACGCGACTTACGAGCCTATTTCCCAAAGTTTACTATGCACAAATAAATTTAAGGATACAAATTTTTGTTACGAATATGTACATATGTAAGCAGTGCGCGCTTCCACTCCGCAACGCCTGGGTTCAAGCCCTGGTCAAAGCAACATCGCAAAAAATATAGAAAAAGGTTTTTTCTTAACAGCGGTCGTCCCTCGGCAGGCAATGGCAAACCTCCGAGTGTATTTCTGCCATGAAAAACAGCTTCTCATAAAAATACAATCGCCGTTCGGAGTCGGCGTAAAACTGTAGGTCCCTTCGCTTTGTGTTACAACATCAAGGCGCACGCCACAAATCGGAGGAGAAGCTCGGCCAAACACTAACATATGTGTAAGCGCCAATCTATTATTATATGTACATACACACGAGAAAGGCAATTTTTTTTTTTTTGTTAGAATTTTTCAAATGTGATAAAACATTTTTTATATCGTTTTATAAATGCATACATACATATATGTATATACAATGCATACTACTCAGTTGTTACTGTGTAAAAAGTATGTATGTATGTGTAAGTTGGTGCTGGACTTTCAACTAAATTATTTATAACAAAATATGGACATATACATAATATACAAGTTTTAATGTGCAATGTTTTTCTTTTGGAGGAATAACACGCCACGGAACATTTCAATACAAAGTAAATTTTCCCTCTTTACAAAATAAAGCATGCACAAGGCTCATTTTTTGCAATTAATTGTTCAATAAATATAAAAATAATTTTCTAATAAAATAATTCAACCTAAAAATATACTTAGTATTAATATTAATAGTTTACATTTTTTGTCGCTTAAAGATGGACATTATTATAAGAATTCCTCTCGTTTACGACAAATATCAGTATCTTTCTTAAAGCATTTGTATTCTACGAAAACAAAGAAACTTTAGGGATTTTATTTACTATTTTTTGTTTTTTGTTTTTTTGTTTTTTCAATACCAAACGGCTAGGCGGTGTGGTGTCCCAATCAGGTATATGGTTAAAGACAAAAATTTAAAACAATAAAAATAAAATTCATAACTCAAATTTATCCCACAAAATAAAACAATGCGTTGAAAATTTTAAAAAATTTACGCCTTGCGCGTCTGTCCTACTGGAGCGATAAAAATATTAAAACATGTACCGATAATTTTAAAACTGTACAATGCTCCAACGCTAAATCTGTACGATTCCATAGACTACTAATGATTTTTCTGCCCATCGTCTTCAAATAATCTCGCTCGATCCTTTGCACATGCGCCCCCACTCCGTTCATCTACATACTACATACTATCTAATTACATATGTACTTATCATTTTGGCGCCCACTGCAGCCGCGAACGGCTAAGCGGAGACCAATTTCGTGATTATCATCTGACTTCACAGTCTTTGTTTAATGGAAGTAAACCACTGTTGCTGTTATTGTTGTTATTATTAGTATTATTATTGTGACTATTACTGCTACTATTGTTGTTGTTGTTGCTGTTACTGTTGTTTGCCGTATTGTGCGCACTATTTAAGCTGCCACCACTTATGCTACTACCGCTGGCGCTGGCACCACTACTACTGCTGCTAGCACTATGGCTATGGCTGTGGCTGTGGCTGTTACTGTTGCCACTGCTGTGCTCATTACAATTAACCGTTAGTGGCGCTATTGGCGCAAAGGCACTACCCAAATTGCCAGCTTCGCCGCCGATGCCTGTACTCACCGACAAAGGCTCGACCAGTGAGCTTGCAGTATTAGAATCGTGTACATCGACTCCCTTGCAAGTGTCGATCACCAGACGTGGCGATGGTGTGCTGGCCTCTTTCGGCGTCGACGCAAGCGGATCGGTTTCATCGCGATTACTCGTGTCACCACCAACATTAGTGGCGGTGCCAAAACTATTTAGCATGGCGACAACGCTCGGTGTCGTTCGTTCGCAATTGTAATTGGCGGAGTCGTCACCGGTTAGCTCACTAACAGCTTTAGTCGTAGGCGTAGTGTGTGCTGACGAAAAGGTTGCTGTAGCCAATGGTGTAATGTTCGTGTTTCCACTGGGCGTTGAAGCGGGTGTTGTTGTTGGTGTAGAAGTGGATGTCGGCGTACGCTTCTCCTTTTTCTTTTTACTGCCAATAACATAACCGTCACCATCAGAGGCTCGCGCCAACTTTAAACGTATGGGTGCGGTGGTTATTGGTGGTGTTGCTGTTGTTTCCTCGGAGGCGGGTCGCTCTGTCACCTCCGGTACATCAGATTTTCTCTTGCCGAAGCGTATAATAAGCTTAGGCGCTTCGCCAGGTGACGCACTCGCCATATTTTCAACAACAGTTGCTGTTGCCGGAGACATTAGCTTCTCCTTATTGCGTCGTTTTTCCTTCTTGTCTTTCTTCGGTTTGGAAGACTTTGGTTTCTTTGTTGGTGGCACTACCGAAGTATCTAGCACGCTACCACCACCACCGCGTCGTGTGCGTTCTTCATCATCCTCTCCGAAATCTTGCATAATTATTTTGCGATAGTTCATCGATTCGCGGCGGTAGTCCTCGAACGTGTGTGGCGTGTAATTTGAAGTCAACCGCTTTTTAGGCGGACAGGCTACCATGCGGCGTGACATATCGTATTGATAGCTATTATCGAATGTGGAATTTCCACTTATCGTTGTTGCACTGACGCTGCCATCAGCCAGTCCTCGTATTTTGATCTTCAATTTCGGGGTAGGCTCATCCTCAGAGCCCTCAACAGTTTTGCTACGTCCACGTCGCTTGCCTGCACTCGATGCTGCACCCGTTTTGGCACCACGCTCATCCGTGCTGCCCGACGAACAAGCGCTACGTCGACGCCCGTCATTACCCAAGCCTGTGCCAATATCGGTGAGATCACTAGAGGCGTCCATTGAGCGTAGTTCACGGCTGGAATTTTTCTTTGAACGTTTCGAGCTTCCTCCCAGGCCCAACTCGCTGCCGTATTCCTCTAGTGTGCCGCCCAGCGCATCGCCTTTTCGTAAACTCTCCACAGTATTTGTCAATCCCACCTCGGTAGGTGGTAGTCCTCCAGAGGAATCATCCATATGCGTGTCCTTTTGTACAACATAGAGGCTGAGCAACTCTTTTTTGCGCATGCGTCGGGAATTCATGCCGCCACTACTGCTATTGCCACCGCCACCAACTGATGCGCCGCCAACTACATTTGCGGAAATCTGACCATGCATTGACACAGCCGTTTGCACAATTCCGACAGCCGCCTGCGTTACGTTGGTAGTGTTTACACTCATCGATGTGCTTGATGCGATGTAGTTGTAGCTGTTGTCTCGGCAAGCAAGTGGTCCCTTGATCTTCAACTTGAGCTGATTGCGAGAGTCGGAAAGTGAAGCTTTAGTTGCAAGTGTTGTATCCGAGTCGATTGATACCTCCTCAGATGTAGTCTCCATCGAGGTCTGCAAGTCAGCCGGCATTACCAGGTCAGATATAACGGACGTTGAGCAGGCATTCGATAGACCACTAGCTGTTACTTCGCTCAGCGTTGCCGTGGCGCTCGAATTTCCTATTAAGCTTGTCGCTGACACATTTGCACTACTTGGCGGAGCCGACGTATTGCCACTCGGCGTTAATTGCTTTGTGGAAATCGTTGATCCAGTTGCACGTAGAGCGGACTGGAACTCCTTTTCATCCTCTTCATCGAATTCAGGTAGTGTTTGCTCAGCTGCGCCGGAATCGAAATCGCTGAGTAAATTGTTATTGTAGGTCTCTTGCGATGCCGATGCCTCGTACACATTGTACGTTCGCATATCCACCGGACCCGGCAACACCGGCTGCACAATGGAATGTAATAGAGATTGCTGAGTATTGGAGTGGTCGCAACTGGTGTTGGTGTTCGATTTAAGCGCCTCTGCTAAATGTGATGTATTGCGACCGCCGCTGCCGCTATTATTGCAGTTCACCAAGCCGCTCGCTGTAGCAGAGTTCGTTACGCCGGCGCCAGCACCGCGCACCTTGCAACTGCCATATGCAGATGGGCTGGTATATTTTTGTGTGTCGGATGACGCCTGTTGATGAGGATGCGACATGGTCGCTTGCTGATTGCAACGGGCATCAAAGGAGCGTCGACGATCGCGCAGCGATTGCAAATTTTCGACGCCCGGTGCGGTAAGATCCTCATCGTAGTTGAACTCGAACGGCGTGCCTACCAAATTGTTGACGTAGTGAGCATTGCCGTCATGCTGCATCTGCGGGGGCAAAGGTATGACAGCATTAGCAGCGCTGCTGCCACGTCCTCGACCTCGACCACGACCACGGCCACGTGAACCAACGCCGGTACCGCGTGGCGCACGTTGACGCGGCTTGCCCGCCAACGTATGCGTCATGGGATCATATTTAGGTGGTGGCGGGGGAGGTTTCTGCGGAATGTTTGTGAATTCGGTAAGTGCTTGTTGCTGTTGTTGCGGCTGTTGTTGTTGCTGCTGTAATTGTAGCTGTTTACTCAGCAGCTCCATTTGACGCGGAGATTTGCCAGGTGATTTGTGCTGCACCTGAGGCGACTTGTGTGAGTTGCGAGGAGTTTGTTGTTGCTGCTGATTGTAACGCGTCGATGAACGCTTCGAAGGCGATTCTTTTGTGGGTGATGTATTTTGGGACGTTTGTCCCTGGAGCTGTGGCTGCTGCTGACTCGCGGCCGGCACGGGCATTATCATTTGGCTGTATAAGCCAGCCGCCGCTGCACCATTATCGGATGGCACACTCATGCCGTATTGCGCAGCTTGCGTTTGCTGCTGCTGCTGCTGCGGCACAGCCGACTGTTGCGCGTGCATGGCATGCTGATGTTGATGCGGCGAATGATGGTCTAGCAATGATGTACCGCCTGGTGTGCCAACAATGGACGCCGTCAAAGCCAGATTGTGTGTGGAAGATGTAAAAGCAGCACCTCCATACTGTGTTTGCGGCGTTGTGCCGGCGATAGCGGTGTTGGCACCCACCGAATTAGGATCGCTGGTGCGCACCCCATACAGTCCCACATCACTTGACGGCTGCTGTTGTTGTTGTACAGAAGCTGTAGACATGGGTACATTAGCGCTCAAACTAGTTGATGTGGGATACATCGTGCCCACGCCAGAATTGGGGACAAAAGGCATTTGGTTCATGACCGGCATGGTGGCTGGAGTATTGTGGAAAAGGCTTACAGAGCCGCCGTTATATTGGTTATTACCTTGATTTGGCGTTGTTTGTTGTTGCTGCTGCTGCTGTTGTTGTTGTGAAGTGGTATGTGTGGGCGTTGTCTGCTGTTGATTATAGCCCTGATTATAGCTTATAAGTGAATCAATGCCGTTAACCAGCGGCGATTGCTGCTGCGTCTGCTGCGGCTGTTGACTATGTGTAAACGGCATGTCGTATGAGTCGACCCTATTAAAGTAACCTTTGTTGCAATTTTGTGCGGCCGTTTGTTGTTGCATTCCCGTTGCTTGTGCACCAATTGCATTGTTGACCAAATCCTTTGACTGAAGAAGAGACGTTTGCGGTTGTTGTTGCTGCTGCTGTTGTTGCATGGAATGTCCCACTTGTTGTAGGTGCTGCTGTTGCTGCTGTTGTTGCATTTCCATTGCACTTGCCTGATCATTCGATTCCGACACTGAGCTTGGCGACGAGGAGCGTCTTGCTGCAATCATTTCATTCTCATTCCAAAGGCGGGTGGCGGGTAGCCCGTATGGCGACTGCATTCGGGTGTTCTCATCATAGTCGCAATCGACCGCTAATTTGTTATTGTTGCCCCCAACGCGCCTAGTTGTCCTAGTAAAGTCAATATTATCTTTGGCCGCTAAGTCTACAAAATCAGGCGTTCCAGGCACCGCATTAACACTTCCTCCTCCAGTGTTCGGCAACTTATTGAAACTGCTAACACCACTGCCTTTGCTATTTGACTTTTTGGATAGTTCCTTTTCTAGGAACGATGTAATTTCAGCAACATCCGGAGGCTGTGGCTGTGGCTGTGTTTGACTTGTTTGTGCCTGTACGTAGTTCGCTCCTTGTTGTTGCTGCTGCTGTTGCAGTGGCGATATCGGCACGTTGCAGATGTCAGCCGCAACATTTTTCTCCATGAAGCCTAGCACTGGCTCAGTGTATGTCAACGCACCGATGTTGTTATTGCTGTTGCTACTATTTACCATATTGCTGTTTGAGGAAGCATTTATTGCACCCATAGTAGTATTAGAGTTGGGCGGGGTATTAGGCGTTGTAACTGCCGTATGCGACGTTCGGCTGAATGCATTAGATGTTGGCGTTACCGTCACAGCCGGAACACCTAGAGTGCCGCCATCTTTTATTTCGCCAATAGTTTGCTGTTCATGAGGTAGCAACGTTCCGCCGCTACCTTTACTACCTTGACTAACAAAGAGGCAATTGCTGGCTTCAGCTGCGGCCGCCGCCGCTGCTGCTGCTGCTGCTGCGGCATTTTCTTTCTGCACGTGAATAATGTCTTCTGGATCAGCTGCATTATGGAATGGAAATACTGATGGTATGGCTGGCGTTGGAGGAGGCTTTAGCAAATCCGGTTCTTTTGGCTCATCGGCGCGTATGCGTTTCTTGCGCAGTTTTTCAACCAAAGTACGCGTTGCCAGGAAACTATCTTCCTCGGTTAGTTCTTTGGTTGTCGCACTCAAAAGACTCAGACCATCCGCCGGCTCATCCAGTACCGAATCAGCATTCACAGTCGCCGAGAATGAAGATGCAGCACTGAGCAAAGCATTAGCGAAGGCATTCTGTTGTTGCTGCCGTTGCTTTTGGTTTACATTATCCTCCATGTCGAGTATTGTGTCCACAATGGGTTGATGTCGGCTATTACTGCTATTCAAATCAGTTATGTTCATAGCGCCCTGCGAATTTTCGTCCATATTGTTTTGAGATTCGTGCAATGAAATGTTAAGCGGAGTTGGGGGTACGCTAATGCAACCACTTTCGTGATTTGCTTTTTGTAGCGGCGTTCCACCAGATATGTCTACCACAAGCGCCGGCGAAGACGATGGTGAGGCAGGCGTTTGTGGTACCGATGAAGTGTGTGCAATTTGTGTAGCTAAGTCAATTTGGTGTTGCTGCTCCTGTGACTGTGGTTGCGTTTGCTGAGTTGTGGGTTGTAGTGAAGCTTGCTGTTGCTGCTGCTGTTGTTTGAGTCGGTCGCTACCTGTTGAGTTTGAATTTGAATCCAATTCGATAATCTCCGGCGGTTCAGGTGCTATAACTGCCACAGCAGGTGATGAAGAAGACGCTGAGTATTTGCTAGCGTTTGCTGCAATTTTGCGTTCCTCTTCAAGTTCTCGCAGCAACTCCATCTCGTTGAGTAGGTGCTGCGTGTGATGTGTGTGTTCCTCTTCGGGTGACAGTGGTGGACTTCCAGGTCGCGTTCGGCGATGCCTTCGATGTAGTCGTCGCCTTCTGCGTCCACCTTGGGAGGGGCTTTGTTCATCTGACTCATTAGAAAGCTCATCGTCCGACACCGAAGATACTGGTGATGGAGGCGAAGCTGGCATGGGCGCTGCCGGTGGTCGTTCATCTATATCCTCCAAGTCACAAATCTTACTTGACGGCAAAGTGGTATGGGTAGGAGCCGTTGTTAGCTCTTCATCAATATCCATTGGTACTTCACCGCTTTCGTTTTTCGTGTCAATAATAATTTTTGGATGCTCAGGTGGTCTGACGGCCACAACTTCGACGGCTGGCAAAATGGGAGTAGGCGATCTTTCTTTGACACCCACTTTCTCACCAATAATGTTAGTTGGTAATAGAGACACCGGTAGAGTAGTTGCAACAGGATCGACCACATTGATCAGCGAACTTCTGCTCGCCTCTTGTTCCAATTTATTCAAGAGTTTGTCCAAGGAGCCTTGATTTTTGTTTTGATTTTTAGTATTTCCCTGCTGGATCGTGGAGTTTGAGCTATTAGAGTTACTGTTGGAAACCTTACGCTGTGTTATTTCTTCGGTTAAGGTTAATACAGTTTTATTCTTTTCACTATCGCTCTCAGACATGCGATCCGAAGTTGAAGACACAGACTGCGCAAGGGGTGCGGGCTTCGGAGATTTCGGTTGGATCTTTTGCTCCAATTTCTTATCTGTGTCTGCAGTTGATTGTGCTAAATGCGGCGGTGAGGATGGCCCTGACTTCGAGCGACGCATTGCCCGGGTACGCATCGAATTAGGCTGTGTTTGTGTTTGTGTTGGAGCTGGTACTTCCTCATCATCGTCTACAACAATAGCTGCATCAGCTAAAGTTTGCTTGACTGTCGCTGACTTCTTTACCTTGTCATCCAAGGACAATTTACGCTTGGTCAATTTCTGTTGTTTGTTATCTGATACGGGCTCATCAGGCGTGACTAAGTTACCACTGCTGCTACTAGTGTTACTGATATTACGTCGCAATGGCTTTTGAGGAGTGCTCTTAGGCGACTTGGTTGCGGAGGTTGCACCTTGAGCGGTGTTAATTGTGGAGGAGTTCTGTCGCGTCACAACCGGTGGCTTATCAATCGACTTACGCGGGGAGCGTTTATTGGCCGCTGTTGCACGTGTAAGACGCTCTTCCTCCTCAGCAACCTCGCTCTCGGCATCACTGGAATCACTACTACTGCCGCTGTCACTACTACCGCCTGAAGATGATGAGCTGGTGCTGCCGTCTGTGCCAGAACTAGATGAATCAGACAACTCTGCTGTCACTACTGTTTTCTTTGTCGGCGTTTGCTGTTGCTGTATTGTTTCAACAGAGGTGTCTTTAGAGCGACGTCTGCTGCTTGTGGGTGTCTTGGACACAGGTGTTATAGTTTCTTTTGCAGTGCTAGTAGTACTCTCCCGCATTGACATACGTCGCATGGGTGGCAAGCGCGTACTACGACCGTCTGGTGTCCTTAACTTGCTTTCCTTTTCACTGCGTTCCGAACGTTCCTTATCATCGGTTATTGCCTCACTTGCAGCAGGAGGTTTGCCACTACTCTTAAGTTGTTCAGCTGCTTTTTTAGCGGCCTGCCTCTGAGGCACGTATGCCACTAGAATGTTATTCGCTCTTATGTCATTTTGTTTGGGCGGTGTTGACACACTGGACTTGACGGTATCAACCGTCGTATGATCCGTAGAAAGGCGCGTGCTTCTGTCTGAACTTGTGGATAGGGACTTTGCACTAAGCTGTTCCACAGTACGGCATACATTCTTGTCATCCTTTCGTGCGCGGTTTGGCGAGCTGAAATTGATTTTGGAAATTTGCTCGCCGTCTTTTTGCCCTGATATGGATCTAGAAATGGTTTCAGGGTCACGCGCCTTAGGAGGACGGCCACGTTTTCCAGTTCCAGTTCCGCGCTCCCTCTCTTTATCTTTCTCCTTTTCTTTATTTCTTTCCTTCTCTTTCTCCTTTTCTTTTTCTTTATCTTTCTCCTTTTCTTTTACTTCGGATTCAGGAGGCTTTAGCCCAGCACCAGTAAGAGATTTTTCTTTTGTACGCAGTTTTTCCGACTTATCTTCATTCTTCATGCCAGTCTCCTTTCCCCTTGACCTCTCCAATTCTTTATCTGAGCGCTGATCTTTGGGCTTTTCTGTTATTTCCGAAGATAATGTATTGGCCATACCGGGCACTGCTCCGGCGGCAGTAGTGTAAATGCCAGTCGAACGCATATTTTCGGATGCCTTCTTGGCTGCCTGCCGCTGAGGCACGACCAACAAATCTGCCGTTAGCTTATTCTGTCGCTCAATAGCCGCCGCACTTGCCTTCTTTCCTCTACTCGGTACCTCGGCTGCTGCCTTACTGTGTCCGCTTGACACCACTTTTTGTTCCGATTTCCGCTCTAGTGTGCGATGTGCGCTTGCAGACTTAGACGGTGGCTCCTTCTTACCGCGGCTGCTCAAGCCTGTTGAAGACTGTTGTTGTTGTTGCAGAGTAAATTCTTTAAGTGCCGCCTTCGTGCGTATTGTTTGTTGATTTTGTGAGTCGCTTACATTACTTTCTACAGCTCGTTCATCTTTATCGGCTTCGCCGCCGGAAAGACTTTCAGAATCTGAGTATATTTGCTGCACCGCCTTTGTTGTGCGTCCTGTCAAAGTCGATGATTGGGCTGCTGTTGACACAGTTGCTGCACCACTTGCTAGATTGGAGTTTCTATCAGCACCCTTTAGTGGCAACAGCTCCTCACTTTCATCGCTCGATGTACTCTCAGAGCCCTTCTCCTGTTGCAATTGTTTGGCCATCTGTGAAAGGAAGTCTCGTCCACGATTTCCTGTTGTTGTTGTTGATCCTGTTGTTGCTGCTGTTTGTGCCCCTGGTGCTGGCATTGCTGATTCTGCTGCTGTAGTTGTTGTGCTGAGGGTAGTAGATTTCTTCGGACTAATATTGTTTTGTTTTGTTGACTTAGATTGCTGTTGCTGTTGTTGGTGTTTGGCAGGTACTGATCGGATATCCTGTTCGTCATCACTGGAGCTGGACAACACAGTTGTTGCGGTAGCATCTCCTCGTCCCGCTCCGGTGACAGCGGTGCTGTTGCTGCCACTTTTTCTTCTCTGTTTCTGTCGCAGTTCCACAGATCGCGCATAAGTTTGCTTCTTTTGATTCTGATGCGCAGCTGTCGCAGTCCCAGTTGATGCGGTGACTGATTTGGCTGGTGAGACTTTACGTGAAGCGGCTGCTGCCTTTGCTCTGACGGATTGTGCGCCGCTTCCTGCACTGGATGTTGATGCAGATGAGCTTGAGCCAGAGTCTGATTCATCATCGGAGCCAGTACTGCCCGAATCGGTTGACGTTCCTTCTTCCTCCGATGACGAGTCATCATCACCGGAGGACGAACTCCCTGACGAATTGTTATTAGACGACTGGCAACTGGCATCGGAGTATTTTGCTGATGCTTTAGTTGTGCTTTTTCTCTCACTAACATTGCTACTTTTGGTACTGCGAGAACGCGATTCCGCTGCCGACGATTTGATATTCGTCGCCGAATGACCGGATGTACTTGCTTTGGAAACTGAAGCACGATTTTTCTCCGGCACAGCTGTAGTCAATCCGGATACACTTGCAGCTGCCGAACTGCCAGCGGCGCCGATTGAACTGCGACGACTAGAATTTACCTGCTTTTCATTACTCGCTACTGTTACCGCAGTCGGCGCTACCGAACTAGTCGTTTGCGTAATTGCTATTGCACCATTGTTTACTTTCTTATTTGGCGAGAGCTTATTACTATTACTACTACTACTTGCCGCACCCGCACCCGCAATCGATGCAGGTGCAGTGGTTGAGTTTGCACTCGCGGTTGCATTGCTTGTCGCTGCAGCTGAGGCAGAAGATTGTGTAGTTTTTCGTTTTGTCGGTGATGTGGATGTGCGCGCACCAGCACCCCTCCCTGCTCCCCTACTTCCCTTCACGCTACCTAAAAGCTTCTCTAAAATAAAGTTAATATTTTGATATTGTGCTGGAATACTTTCATTGCTATTCGATGAATAAAACCTATCGTACAGCGTTGGGCCATCATTAGCATAAATAACAGCATTTTTGAAGCTATCATCAACGTTAACATCTAGCGCCGTACGGGGCACATTCGAAACACCACTACCACTACCACTACCCTCCCGCAAATTTTCATCGCTAAGCACTGAAATTTGCTTATAAAATACCTGTTCGCGCAGCTTAAAAAGTGATCTGGAAAGCTTTTCGCGTCTACTAACCATATAGCAAAGATTTCTTACACGCTCCAAGTCTTGCCGTAAGTGCACCACCAATTTGTGGTTCTCCAGATCTTGTTGTTCTTGCTTTCGTGCTATCATCTCGACGTCCTCCGACTTGGGTGGAATCAAAGCGCGGTTATGACGAGATTTGCGTTTCAACTTCCAGTAATTGTAAATGGATTCGATGGCATCATCATCGACATCGAACAAATGGCAACTGATGTCCTTAATGTTCACGTGTTTATCGAATTCCGCCTCAACTTCCTGTTAGCAGAAAATAATAGAGAACAAAAAAATAGTTAAATATACATATCATTCTTAAATGCTAAAAATATTAAACTTAACTTGCTAGTAAGAACTCGCAAAAAGTATTGGCTCGTGACCATAGTCGTAAATTTAGTGAAGATCTAAAATTTTAGTCAGTTTTTTGTTTTGAACTCATTTTACCTAGGACGCACGGTGCGTAATTTGGATGATTTAGGGTAAGGAAAACCTTAAGGCCCAGAATTTTGACTCCAGAAAAATTTTGTTTTGCGTTATGTATTTCTAATAGACTGTATAATTTGGGTTTAAAGAATGTACGGTCTGGTTTATTTTTAACCAACTTCAAAAAATGAGGAGGTTATCAGTTCTTCGGAGGATATATATATATATTTTTTTTTGTATGTTACCGCATAACTTTGGACCACGTTAACCGATTTCGATAATTGGAAAGGTGGTACCTCAAGGGTGGTTCCATACTAATTTTTTTTTAGATCCGAAAATTGGATCGTGAAGAAATTAACGATAATCTTAAATTTTTATATGAGAACTGAAGTCGGTTTGGTTTTCTGCTTAAAAATTACTTGTTTCAATGTATATTGTTTGGATATGCAGGAATATTTTTCCAAAAAAATTACACGTTAGGTGGCGCCGGGGACGAAATATTTTGAAATTCCGTTTTATGGACGGACTTCGTTAACATTTTTGACATATATTAGATACATAAAAAGAGATATATTTGATTTTTAATATCTTCTCGCATTCAAAATCTTATCGCAGAGAAATTTTTGTACGTCGACATTTCATCGCATACCATTTCAGTGTGAATATGTTGCTTGTGTTGAATAAATGTTTCGAAAATTTAATTTTTTTTGCTTGGTTGTCCTTTAATAGCATTCCTCCGAATTACACCACTTCTTTCTTAAGACGGACTTCACATGTCTTTACGCCTGTTCCAGAAAGTTTGGCACTGTTGTTTTTCTTGCCGTCACGGCATCAGCAATCTGCGGTTTTTTTATCCTTACACCCGCATCCTTCGCTACCACCACGAACTCGACATTTAACCATATTTGGAAAAGTTCTCTTTTAAAAAAAAAAAAATTTTTAAATGAGAAAAATCCTAAATTCTCGTCACCAAAAATACACAAAATACACACCATAGTTTGACTTTAAATCTACTCTTTTTAATTGTGCAATTTTGTGCAAATTCTTACTGTTGCCCTAGATATACAGATGATAGATTAAAAACTCTGATTGATACACGCTGATACACAATTGAGGGATTCACAATGGTGTCGTAAGTGTCGTATTGTTGTATGTCGTAAACCTTAAACGCTTAAATAAATGTTTAGAGAACCTGAAACCACAACCAGCTATTTTTTAACACTGCGAAAATTCATAATATGACTTTTATGGTTCTTTGCGAATCCCCGTAATATATTTTTAGGAGTTTAAAGTTTACGACATACAACAATACGACACTTACGGCACCGTTGTGAATACCCCAAATGTATGTTTATGCTTATATAAAAAAATAAATCCCACATACATATGATTTAAATCTAAAAGAGCGCAGTTGACATGTAAGGATGAAGTTTAAAAATTTTAAATCATGTGTTTAATTAATTAAAATGCGTAAAATACCCAAGACTGCAATCTCGTTTGGAAATGAGACGGATACGAACCACTGGTTGATAAAGGTCAGAAAAATGGTGATTATCGTTCGTCAAAACGTGCATGTTTGTACAAACTCAGCATTCTTCCAGGTGATCTTCAAACAATCGGGGACTGATTTTCTCTTCCAAATGATATGGACATAGGTATATCGTATCTTGCCAACTTCCATTATCGATTTTCCTACCCTTAAATCGCAAAAAATTACGCACTATGCGACGCCAATATTATACATAGGTACATTTTAGTAATTAAAAAGTTTAAAAGTTTACGGGGACGAAAAGTTTCTCGTCCAAAACCTCTGCGCAGGTAAAGCTATATTTTTTAATTTACCAGTACTACAAAAATGTAGTTTCAATATATTTTATCATTAATTCTTAACCGTTGAATGCTCGCGCCGCCAATGACATTTGTAAAGGTCAAGCGTTGTTTTCTAAAACTGTAAAACTCGAATGAATGTTACTTCTTCGCTTAGTTTATGTTTAAATTTCAAATGTTTGTACTTAAAATAATTTCAAACTCAGTAGTGGTTAGCAGTGCGCACGACCTTTCCGCAGGACCTGGGTTCGAGCCCAGTTTACGACAACATAAAAAAAAACATAAACAGGTTTTTCTAATAGCGGTCGCCGATCGGCAGGCAATGAATGGCAAACCTCCGAGTATTTTCTGCCATGAAAAATACATAGCTTCTCATGAAAATTCAATCGCGTTCCGGGTCGGCATAAAGCTGTAGGTCCGTCCCCTTTGTGTGACAAATTCAAGGCGCACGCCACAAATCGGAGCAGAAGCTCGGCCAAACACTAACATATTGTGTAAGCGCCAATCTATTGTTATTAATTGCAAAACAAAAGCTTTTTTAATATAATAGTGAAAACTCTCTGAAAAATACCAAAGCATTTAGAAAATTAGAAGTGTACAAGTCATTTCAGTCTCAAAAAATTTTGTCTTAAAAAATTTAGTCTTCAAAAAAATACCCCAAAAAGTCCCCAAAAACATTTAAAGTCTCAAAAAAAAATCGGCATCCGAAAAGTTTCAGTAAAATCAGTGTCCAAAAATTCCGGGGTCCAAAAAATTCAGTCTCATCCCAAATATTGTGAAATACGCGAAAAAGTCCAAAGCGTCTTATATAATGAAACTCCTAAAAATTCCGAGAAACAACACGAAATTCTGAAAAACCACAAAAGGTCCGACAAATTCTAAAGAAATACCGAAAAATTAAAAAAAAAAAAAACAATAAACGCGAAGAGTCCCGAAAAAAATCCAATAAAACAAACTCGGAAAATTTAGAAGTCGGAAATCCCAAAGGTCTCGAAACATAAAACACTATGAATACTGGAAAGTCTCGAAATAATGCTGGAAGGATTTGAAAAGTCCCGAAAAGTTCAGTAAAACGGATTCCAAAAAAATCTCAGTAAATCGCAGGGAAATTCCCACAAGTCCTGAAAAACTACAAAGGTCTGAAAAAATCCAAAGAATTACCAAAGCGTTCCGTAAAATAAACTACAAATAATCCCAAAAAATAATCACGGAGGATTCCGATGTCACGAAACAATACCCAAATAAATCTCAAAGGTTTTGAAAAGTAAGCCAATTAGAATCCTGAAAAATTCCGGGAAAATACCGGCAAGTCCTGAAAAACTACAAAACAAAAGGTCTAAAAAATTGCAAATTATCGAAAAATCACGAAATCATGAATCGCGAACTGTCCCGAAAAAAACCCTAATAAAATCTCGAATAAAAAACCAAATGATCACAAGCAAGCCTTGAATAAAAAAACAAAACGAAAGTTATCGGTTGTCTAAACAAAGAAACAAATTGTCTAATCTATGTATGGATGTCGTAAACTTAATACAAAATATAACCGAACAACTCGATAACCAGGTAGCCGTAATCCAACAAATATTGGCCGTCAGTTCTTGTTCTTTGTTGTGTCAAAAATGCATCACGATATATGTCAAATGTATTTCAAATGATTTTTAAGCGTTTCCACTTTATTTAGCTATTAAAACAAGAAAAGAACTAAAGTAAGGCCTGCGGACACCTTATCATCAAAATTAAGTTTTAACCTCATAGCTGTTCCACGTTTTAGTTATTATTTATTTTTGTCCGAAGACTCTAAATAAAAGCTTTAAATAAAGCCTTTTCGCAATTTTGATTTTTTGGTTTATTAGTTTCTTCCAGCAAACGAGCGAGATTACCAAGAAACATTTTCATGTCTGCTTCCGAAATGGTTTACAATAGGCATGCCCAACGCCGACAGAACTCCATAAGCAAGTGCCCTGCGCTGGCAGAATTCAATAGGCAAGTGCCCCGCGCTGGGCACGGCTGGTTTACAACAATTCACATAATTAAAAACTTCGGAAAAATTTACCTGTAAGCGTTGAGCTCGCGCTTGATTACGCTCCTCCGAAGTCATATCTGATTTTCGACTTTTTCGTCGCCGGCAATCGTCTTCATCATTAGCTGCTCCATGTGTACTATTATGTTTATTTGTGCTACTGCTATGTGCTCCGCTACCATCTTTTTTACCCTTACTAACACTGTGCTTTTGACAATAGGAACGCAGCTTAACACCATCCTCTGCGTTGCCCTCCTCAATAATTGCTCGCATCTCAAGGCCATGTTGAAATGCGCAAGTTACGTGATAAGCGGTTTTACAGGTTTTCACGGAACACTGTATACATGCGCCGACTCGAGCCCGACACAGAATGCATACAAGGCCCCATCGACTCGATGGAATGCTGGAAATCTTGGTAATTGGTTCCATGCGATCTACACAACCAATGCTTACTTCTGGTATCCAGAGTGCACAAGAGACATGTGCCCAATGTTTGCCTGATTTGGTTGATTTCATGGCCCCGCCTTTATTCGGGCAGAGTACACAATCCGGTTTAATACCCATAGAACACGTCCGACAAAGCCACTGACCTGGTAGATATTCATAAATAACATGGAATATTAATATTTTAATCATGCACACAATGTGTTACAAAAAAAATAAGTCATATTAAAACTTATTTAGCATTTTATTTAGTGAGATAAATTACAAACCTGATGGAATCGCTGTAATACCATAGCATGCCTGATGTACGCAAATATTGCAATTATCACAGAATACCATTTCGTTGGCTTCCTCAGAGTCGGGGGACCGGCACACATCGCATATGACATTCTCATCATATTCGATGCCAAGACCCTCCTCATTTTTCAGGATTACCTGTATTTGTTCCCAACACCGTATCTGCAAATTAAATTAATTGAATTTATATTAAAAATTAATAATCATATACATGTACATATCGCTAATTTACTTCAAAAGTGTCATAAAACTCCAATAAGAAAAACTCTAGACAAACAGATTTACAGTTTTTACAATTTACATAACTGTGCCGTTTAATTAAAGTAGCCTAAGTCCATTTAAAGCAACATTTCACTGGGTTCCCAAACAATAATTTAACGTTTGCCATTGTAGTTGAATCTTTAAACGGCACAGATATGTATACTCCAATACAAAAAATACATATTTTGTTGTACCGGTAATTTCTGCAAATTCAACTCAATGTTTGTATGTTTTGGATTATGACACTATTGAATTATATGAGCAATATACAAGTGTGTCAACTTCAAATTTTCAAATGCACACCTCGAGTTCTTCGATAACGCGCTCAAATTGGGTTTCAGTAATGGAAAAAGCACCGTATTGCGCACGATCAGAGTTGAGTAATTCCAGCCATGCTTCATCGACTGGATCAATGTCGTAGGCACATGTATTCTCCGCTTGCGCAACCACATTTGTCAGACAATGTAACTCGCTGGAGTAAGTATCGTCTTTGGTTATACGCAGAAAGCGATTCTTGGGACTACAAACAAATTAAATATGTGTAAATATTTAGTACTTCAATGTGCGAAATTTTGTGAACCAGCTTATATCTTACAGTTTAAAGTCATGCGCAGGCGGCACTATTGGTTCTGACAGCACGTAAACGGTTGGTTCTGGCAAAGAGTCGGGATTTACAGGCACCTGCACGCCCTTCTCCCACTCTTGCTTCCACTGATCATTTACTACGAGATACTCGTAATTAGCCAAAGGCTCCGAATCCGGCAATTTCATTGCGCTTATGAGATCCTTGCTACAATTAAAACATATATATTATTATATTAATTTTAAAATGTATTATTAAAACCTTAGAACTAAAGCTATTTAACTTTGCCACATTCGTACTTACCGATACAGTTCGGCCGGTGCCTCCGTTGAGCTTCGATTGTAAATACTTGAAATCTTAATATCTGCTACTGACCGCGGTTGCCATGCTGCCGCCGAAGAGGAAGATCCTTGGCTGGCTGCTACTTTCGCACTTGTGGCAGCTAATGCTGCCATTTCTTCGGGTACCAAAGCTACCACACTATTTTGCTCATTTTCGGCATTACTATTGCTTATAGAGGAAGAAGCAGTATAAGGCAGGCTTAATGGTACGCTACCCACTATGCTTCCGCAGTGGCTGCCAACATTTGCACCGCCATTGTTGCCATTAAGCCCACTTCCAACTGCAGCGCCACCACTGCCACTACCGCTACCATTGCTTCCACCTCCGCCATTAGGTGGCCGCCCTTTACGCCGTTTTGTCGGCGGAGGCTGTGGTTCAACGTCGAGTCGTTGATGATGTTGATGATTACCGCGTTTACCTCTTTGTGACATCTTTCATTGGTAACAGTTAATTTCTATTCGCTCAATTGAACTCAAGAAAGATGAAATTACCTTACGTTTTACGTATGATAGGAGATAAATTCTTCTGTTTAATGTTGTCACTTTTCACTTGCGCCTTTTTGCCGCATTTAAGCACAACATTAGATTTTTAAGTGGTTTGCTATTTGGTTAAGTGGCTTTTTGTAAATAGTGCAGTTTATGTTTGAGTTTTTTGTTTTTGATTGCTTTATGCACTAACGTAGTTTGCTATCTTTTTAATTGCGATTGGATAAGCCCTATTAGGTATATCTTTGAATGTATTCTGGTTTGCACTTTTATATTATATGTATGTAAGTAAGTGTGTATTTTATTTAGAATCAGACCTGAAAATAAATGGATATTATAAAAATCCTTTATTTGAAGAAACTCTATTAGGATCAACAAGTGTACTTACTACATGCTTAAATCCTTAATTGGCTAACCAAATGATGTGCTGATGCTGCTTTAGTGTCTGCTGGTAATGAGGATGGGTTTTTGGTCTTAATTGAAATAACCCCACACTGCTCCCCACTTTTATCAAAAATGTATATGTCAATATTTTAACGTTGAGATTTGAAATTCTATCCACTTTACGTATGCTCGTACTATGGTGACGGAGAGTTGAATCTCGTGCACGTCGTCGCAAGCGTCGGGAAAACATGGAGCGAGACGCTGCTTCTTGTCCGTGCCCGTGACGCGCCACTTTGCTGATTATAAGACACTACTCCGACCAGGCTAGAGATGTGTATTTAACACGTACCGCCCACTTATACTATGCAAGAAGGCGTTAGTGTTTACTAAGATGCTCAAGGCAATAGTGTTGCTGACTAATGACCATATAAATGGTCAGTTGTAAAAATTATCGTAAGATAATAATTTGCTAGTGTTCAATAAAGTCCACTTTGACGGTATGTTGCAAATAACATTGGGGAAGCTTCAATGCTCACTATAGTTTTTATTGCAACTAATGGGACTAAGTTTGTGCCACTACTGATGAACTTATACTTATTCCGAAACATTGCCTTCCTTTAGAATAGATTCCGCCTTTATTGTGCATCAGTTTTCGCAGTGTGTATTTTGTGTATATTTTCTTTTGTTTTTCAGCTTCCTTGCACTTTAGAAAATACCTCTTATGGGTTTACTTTTTTTCAAACGTCTCGAATTCTCGGTTTCCCTCAAATGGGATATTTCTATTACAAATTGTCTTCAAGATCTGCTTTGTGATTTAACCATTAAACACTTTCTTAGCCGAATAAATAGCATTGAATTTAATAATTTTTTTAGAACACTCTGCGCTTAAATTTTGTGTCTTGCTCTACGTTTTTGCCTTCGCTATTCGTCTTTTGACTGACGGCTATCTCTTACTCACTCTTACCTATTCACTTTCTCATTCTTACTTACAGCACACATGCACGGTTCACCGTTCGATTTCCACTTTACGCACTCTGCTTTGAGGCGCAGCGCACAGAAGATTGCAAAGAAAATCTCAAAGAAGAATCACAATAAGGCGGAGCGCTTAGCCTTCTAATGTGGCTATCCCTTTCATAATTTTTTGACTTATTTTTAAGTAAAATACAATTAAATTAATTATATGCAAATAAATTATTGGTTTACAGTTTTTGTTTTTTCTCCACATATTCGTTTGTCCGTGCCTGCTATTCCCAAATTCGCCGGAAAACTCAACATTATACATCCGAACGCCAACAGATGGCAGCAGTATCACACGGCGAATTCCGCGGAATTGCAAAACTAAATACACTGCAAAACCACATTAAGCGCACTAGTCGTCGCCCACGAAATGATAGTATGCACGTGTGAATGAATGAGATAGTCGTATATGCAGCGATGTCTTTTGGTAAAATTAAATGGTAAATTTTTGCTCGTATCGAGTACATGCAATATATCCACGACATGAAAATAATTTTATATGGAATCTTACAAACGCCATTCAGTTAGGCCACCAAATACGATTATTTTCGCGCAAATTCATTTCTTTTTCCCGTCATTTTTTTCCCCCCCAACTTTACGAGCAAAATGGTTTTCCAACGTCGGTGCCGTTTCCTACTTGTTCCCTTTTTTGCGAATAGCTACCATCGAAAGCCAAGAAAATTAACTTTTGCCGCCGCAATTTCTCGTAGAACACATTTTTACTCACTATACACAAAATTTTTACCATTTTTTAGTGCGCAATGCGCAACTTTACTTTAGTTCATATATTTTGAGATACCTTCTATCAATTTGCACCGTAGAAATTGCTTTTCTTTAATTTCTTTTATATTTACAAGACGTCGTCGCCATTATTAATTTTTCGACACTCCATTTTTACTTCGCCTTAGCCACCTCTTCGCTGCATTTGTCATTGCTGATAGTAGCCGCCAGATGGCTATCGTTACCTACATCAATTTACGTTCATTGTGAATGGAAACTCAAACCTCCATTTTTCCCCACACTTTTAAGGGGTACTCGTCAAAGAAACCACTTTTCTCCCCACACTTTTAAGGGGTACTCTTCGCGGGAACTTCACTTCTTCACACATTTTTAAGGGGCACTCGTCGCGCGTACCGCGTTTCACCTCACATTTTTACAGGGCACACGTCGCGCGAACCGCATTTTCCCCACATTTTTAAGGGGTACTCGCCGCGCTAACCGCGTTTCTCCCATCATTTAAGGAGTACTCGTCGCGAGGGCCGCATTTCTCCCCACATTTTTATGGGGCACTCTTCGCGCGAACTTCATTTCTCCCCTATTTTACAGGTCCCCCTTCAAACACGTCAAGTCTTGAAAGCAATTTTTTTTCGCAAACTCTTTTGTGTTTTCTATTTGCTTCCACGCGCGTCAACTTTCATGGAATTCAAGTCCTTGGTTCTTTAAATGGGAAGCAATGAAAAGATCAAAAGAGACAAGAAAACTTGAAACGAATTGACGGTACGGTACGTGAACCAGATTTCTCCCCACACTTTTAAGGTGTACTCTTCGCACGAACTCCATTTCTCCCCACAATTTTAATTAGTACTCATACGACGAATACTTGTCTTCCCCACATTTTCACCAGTATCAATGCGATGCCTCACAAACTCCGTTCTGCCCCGATTGTTTCCAACCTTGCCGAATATGCTGGAGTATTTAGGGTGAAAATCCATAGCGTTGTGCTGGTATTTTCCTTCCAAACTTTCCATCCATGCATTGATGTCTACCGCAATGTCCTTCTCGCCAAGATCACGGCTCCGTGGCGAAGTTTGTCAATCTTGATGCCTTGGTCAAATAGGAGATCTACCCCAATGGTGACTTCATTCACTATAGACTTGTGTCCGTATTCCCGATTGCGACTTTGCATGTTAGTTCGCCTTAAACTTGTCCTCACTTATTGCTGTCCTCACCTTTTCACCAGTAAATGGCCTCACCTCCTGGAGCGTTTGTCGAAGTGGTTGGACGATTCAACTGCGAATCTCGAAACGAAAACGATCTTTTAGATAATCCCTCTTACCGTCGAATTTATCTGCCTCTCTTTAATTTTCTCTTGTTTCACCACGCATTTCTCTTGTAACTCCGTAAGTAGTACATTGCCACTGACTAATTTCTCGTGAAGCTGTGTACTTTTCACATCTACTTGTAGGGAAATCTCCCACGAGAACTGCGACATCTCATCTCTACTGTACTTCATTGAGCTGTGTTTGCATCATCTGCGGCATGGCAGCCAATAACGTGTTCATGTCTGTACCCCTCGATGAACCTGGAAGCTTTATATTTCTTCAACCTTCGTGGATGTCTCCTGGGTGAATTCTCGTTCTGCGTTATTGTGAAGTGATAAAAATAACCATTTCAAACCGCATTTATTTCCGAACGTGGATAATCATCGGTTTGCCAATTCATTTTTGAGAGGTAGTATGGTCAAATTATAGAACTTCGTCATTTTAAAGCTTTCTCCTATTGGATTTTTTAATGATCACAATTCTGAAACCTATATTTACAATTATGCTTGAATACTTGACGGATTTCCTAAATCCGCTGTGTTAGTTTCACTGTTTAGTTTCTCGCTAGTGCGTTGCCATTTTTCCAAAACCCTTCGCGAATTATGCATAAAGTGGATAATTTTGAATTCATGAATTCTGTCGCCTAAGGGCCAATTTTTCAGTGCACGGCCGTGGTTTAAACTCAGTTCAAACTAAGATCA